TATGAGAGATTCAAGATATTTAAGAATCTTTCTGTATACAAATTCAAAATAAATAAAAATAAATAAATAAATAAATAAATAAAAATAAAAATAAATAAATAAATAAATAAATAAATCTCGTTTTACCTCCAAATTAGAAGCAGCTTTATGGGACGTAAGATCTGGCGACCGGCTAAGGTACCAAATGTAAGGGAGTCTTCATTAAATAATCAAAATTATTTTAGAACACCAAAAAGCACCTTTTATGAAACATTATACTAGGATTTCACTATTTTTATTTCCTTAGCCGAAGTAAAGAAAATATTGTAATCGCGAAAAATTTCGGGCATCATATTTCAACAGATATATTCATTCCGAGCGTTCCCGAATCCATTGGGACGATTTTTTTGCATGCCATCTGAACGGAATTTTTTGCATGCCATCTGTTTCCACGATTCCTCTTTCCGCGTTTTTCAAAATTCTTCCTGTTCCCGCGAAATCGGAGAGTACAGCCCCCCCTCCCACAGCTCTTCAGGGGAGATAAGTCATTAGTTTCTTTGTGAATAAATTAGTCTTCGACTTGACAGACTGACTGAGGCTCCTCTCGTAGCTTTTATTTTCATTCTATTTGTAATTCTGTTACAATATTAGCTCTTATTTTCGCATTTTATCTTAATCAATATGGATATTTTAGGCATTATTGAAACTAAAGGGAAAAAGAGGTTATCAATATCGAATTCGGAATAGAGATAAAGAAATTGTAGATAATTGGATTTGTATAAATGAAAGAATTAAAAGCTGCAAAGACGCAATTAAGAGCAAAGAAATCGTTTTAGAAGAAAAAATTCATTTATGTCAACCTGACACAGCAAATTCTCTAAAGAATTTGTTTCCCTAAGGAAACAAATATTTGTAGCAAAAACAAGAGTGAAAGAAAAAAATGTTCCACTTTCTTAAATTTACAATGAAGAAGATTGAAAACTGTACAATCAAGGTTTTGACATATTAATCAGTATTCCGCAGACCCTTGAAAACCATGTTGACATTGGGAGTACCCCCAACCTGTGTTCCTATGTTGTTTTGCTTACTCCGCCATAAGCGAAAGCATAGTTATGAGAGACTATTTTGTTTAATTAAAAAAATCATCTTTCTAATTGGGGATTCCAAAGAAATTGTGGTGGATTTTGAAGCTGCAGTTATAATTTCGCTGAAAAATCTCTTCCCTTCAGTAAGATAACAGGTTGCAGTTTTCACTTAAATCAGTCTCTCTGGAGAAATATGCAAGCCTTGGAACTTTAGGCATAATAAAGAAATTAGAACTCAGCTCAGAATGCGTTGCGTCCCTGGAATACATAATCGCGGAATACGTCGATAATGGTTGGCTGTCTGTACAAGAACAAAATTAATTCCATTGCATTACGAGGCGTATGTATTTGGATTTTCCGATGAATATAAATAAAAGCAAGTCCATTCAATAAAGATTTCGATGATATATTTCACAATTATGTCTTTGACAATTTACGGCTAGGAAAAAAGACTTCTTTTGGCTAGGATATGCTTTATCAGATGCTGATGTGATTTTCTAGGCGTATTTTCTTCAAATTCACCTTTCTTTACGTAACGAATATTTATTCTGAAAGATTTTATTATAACTCACCTTTATGCAGAATTTTGGAAGAATATTATTTTTACTGCAGGAAGCGATCTTTTAGTTCACGGCCAAAATCATCTCAGTTTAAACATCTCTCTCTGCCCTTTTAAATACAGTATTAGTTTCATTCATGGAAAGATCGCAGATCGTAAATATTTTTCTATTATTTCTTTTAAAAATTCTTTTTTAAAATCGAAAAACATTTTACTTTCAAAAATTACATTTCGAGAGAGGCCAAGGCCAGTCGGCCTCCACTATGTAACCCCTTTGGGAAGGGGGTAATGAAGATTAATGATTTCGCGGAAACAGGAACGTTTTTGACAACCGCGGAAACAGGAAGACACCATCTGAAATTATGCACAGAATAAAGTCTCTATATTCCAAAAAGGATCGTAAAATAGATTTTAGATAGTTTCAAAAGGGATTTTTTTTTAACTGATGCCTGTAGTGGATGCATACGTATGTATGTATCTCGCATAACTGAAAAACAATTAGCCGTAGAACGTTAAAAATTTGCATATAGAAAAGCAGTAACATATAGTTGTGCACCTCCCTTTTTTATTGAAATGGGCGGTACCAAATGTGTACATATATAAATATGTATATGCGAAAATTATGGCCATGCATAGATATGGCCATAATTTTCGAAATCGTAGGTCGTAGTGATACATATTTAATGCTGTCTCCTGGCTCCTATATTTGGGAAAGTCTTATACACATTATGAAAAATATAATTAGAAAGCGACTCCGTACATTTGTTGGCATCCGTACACATAAGTTTGACTCCCGTACAACAAGAATTGGCCGGCATATTTAACTTCAAAATTTAGGATTTTTTTATGTCAGTTTCAACTCGCCTTGAGAGATCGGTTATTGCAGGTAGACTAATTCGAGGAAATAAGTTTAAATTAAGTGCAACAAAAAGTTTATATAATTTAATAGGCTGAACAAGTAATACATTAGGTGTTAGCATCAGATTTATAGGAAAAGATGCCGAGAAAATTTCACCCAAGGCGCCAAATGATATTTAAGGCTGACATTATATAATTAATCCAAATTAAATTTAATTAAAAAATTTTAGTGTTTTACTATCTGAAATTTAATTATACCAATTATTATCTTTTAATAGACTCAAAACGTGTACTCAAAACTGTAAAAATATCAGTTTTATAAATTTCCAATAAAATCATATATTAAAAAATATAATGGATCAGTCTCTGAATTTTAGTAGCACCGTATGATAGCCATGAATGTCATGTAGTTAATTTTCTAAAGAGAATTTAGTATTCCATGTGCAATATTTATCTGTAGCACGTTTGAAATAGTCCTTCTTTTATACATGTTTTTATTTTAAAAGATTCTGAAAAATGTAAAAATTTGAGCTACTGTTCAAAACTTTTTGTCAAATTATATCACAAAAATGAATTTCAGATCTCAAGAATTTTAATTATGTACTTCATTTGTATCTTTTTAAATAAATATTGGTATATTTTCAAAAACCGTATACTTGAATTTTGTTTTCATTAAACGCAGATTTGGAGGGGGGGGGGAGAGGGCCTGCTTTCATTTAAAATAAAATATTATTTATTTACTTACTATATTCTTCTTATTATTAGCATATTCGACTGATTTGATATCCTTTTAAAACAATCTATTTAATAATAGGATATTATATTAGATAATTATTTATTTACTTACTATATTCTTATTATTATTAATATATTTGACTTATTTGGCATCCTTTTAAAATATTCTATTTAATAATAGAATATTTTAATTATTTTAGAATATTTTTAATAGAAATATTTTTTTCAATATTATCTAAATATTGAAAAAAATTAATATATTTTCAATATTTAGATAATTATTTATTTACTTACTATATTTTTCTTTTTAATATGAAATAATAGGTAGAAATATTGCAGCGAGCTTGCTAAAAAGTTACCAGGAGCTGTAGCTCCACGAAATAGTTCAACACAGTATTACTAAAATATTAACATAGAAGAAATTTTTAAAAAAATTATTAACCTGGAAAAAACTGCTTACACACGAAATAAAACTGTTTAAAATCAATGTTGGAAAACATGTGAGTGCACGAAAAAACTAATCTGACCGTAGTGATATGTGAAAAATTAATACACATAAAAATAGATCGACGGAACAAGTTAAAACAAAATAAAATTAAAAAATAATTTAAACATAAATTGCAAAAATTAAAAAGAAAACGTAAATTACGAGGGTTCGAGTGGTTAATTAACCATTTCCCTTTTGTAATTATTGTATTTTTTTTAATTTTTAATTTTTTTAATTTTATTTTGTTTTAACTTGTTCCGTCGATCTATTTTTATGTGTATTAATTTTTTCACATATCACTACGGTCAGATTAGTTTTTTCGTGCACTCACATGTTTTCCAACATTGATTTTAAACAGTTTTATTTCGTGTGTAAGCAGTTTTTTCCAGGTTAATAATTTTTTAAAAAATTTCTTCTATGTTAATATTTTAGTAATACTGCGTTGAACTATTTCGTGGAGCTACAGCTCCTGGTAACTTTTTAGCAAGCTCGCTGCAATATTTCTACCTATTATTTCATATATTTTTGCAGCATTCTGCGCAAAAAATTTTTATGACCAAATAGGTCTTACTTCTCATTACTTGTTAGCTTTACAATTTCTGTTTTGATTATATTTCTTTTTAATATTATATTCGACTGATTTAATTTTAGAAGAATATTCAATTCAAGAAAATTTAGAACTCAACGTGTCTCTAATTTTAACCATACTGAGTTACAATATTGTAGTAGTTTGGGAAACATGTTAGAAGATTCGTATTAGTAGCTTAAAACTTTAAAGTCTACATAGGTGTGTTCCTATATACCTGAGGGCTTTTCTTAAGGGTTCCCGAGGGTTTAACTATGTTCTGACCAACAATTGGACCCCCACAAAGAATGTCATCAGGGAGCCGACCACGGTGGAGCCAAGTGACAGATCAATGTCATGATCGATATTTAAACTAATACTACAATAGAAAACCATTGACTAAGATCTCAGCTGTTTCAAAAGACGAATTGGCGGAGTGGTGCCACCTGGAGATTAAGTGGCAACCCTATTGCGTTGTACTCTGTACCACCTCAGGCTAAGAAATACCTTTTTCCTGCAAGACTTCTCGTCACGATGTTAGAGTTCCAACGATGTGGATGCGTAGATTCAGGTAAAGCAAAACCTACCTCGTTCTTCTGCAACGGAGCATGACTACGTCACGGGAGGGTCGGGGAGGGTGCGAGGGGGAGGGAGGCAGAGCTCTCGCAACCATGTCTCAGGGTACGTCACAGGGTAGGTCATTTAAAAACCCATGTCGACCGAAATTTCGATTCATTTGATGCCGGATTCTACCAACATTAGTACCTCGTTCGGATAAATGTCCAAAAGGATAATATTTGTTTGTTTTCTGTTGCAATTCCTTCCCAATGCCTAATGTTGGGAATTCTTTTTACTTTCAGTTAGATTAGATTTTTTTTTCAAAATTCTAGATAGACTTTCTACAGTACAAAAAATCTAAATTATTGTGCTAGGTATATAAATATTTGTCGTTAGTAGTTTAGATAATTTTTTTAGGAATTTTTTATTGCTTGAAAAAGGTAAGTTTTTTTCGATTATTTCTGCATTCTATCTTTTTTCTTCTTATTTTTAATATATTTTTGCTAAGTTAGCATTTATTGAAAATTTTATGAGTAAATCAATATTTCAGAAACTAAATTTATGGAATATATATACACTTAATAAAAAGTGTTATTCCACTAAGAAATATTTAAACTAAAAACCGAAATTTCTTCTCAGGAATATTAAGGTCTGTCAAAATGATACTTGCAATGATACGTACGTGTTGAAATTTTTTAAAAATTCGAATAAGTCAAATGTTTTATGTTTTTATTTTTGCTAGAAGTTAGAAATTGAATATTTGACATAATTGTTTTTAATTCGGTTTTTCTTTCCTATCTAAATCTTCGCTTAATTGTGCATAAGATGTTTCCAAAGTTCTAGAAATTTAGGTATATATATATTTTTTTATTTATTCTGTTACTATTCGTCAATATTACGATGCAGTTTTTCAACACAATCCTCATTTAAGTGAATACACTTATCCCAACAGAAAACCTCTCTCTGTCTCTTTATGGAATGGTTAAATTCTCAAATCAAACACCCCGCAAAGATATTTTTCAATATGGAAATATAATATTCCTCGTAAAACGCTGAACATTTTCTAAAATTTTCGCACCTCTTTCAACATAAAGAAAATAATTGCTCTTCGCTCTTCTTGTGGTTGCAGAAACTGCGATGCTACAAAAATGCTGCTGTGTAAGTCAAGCAACTGAATCGGACTAAACAATATTGGATAATCATGTCAAAACTTGTTCCTGGCTGAAAACTTTGCCTGTAAGTTTGCCTGCCTGGAAATGAACCAGAAGTCAATTTTCAGAACTTTGGAAAAGTCCCATGTGTATTTATCATTTGTTAGATAGTTTTTCTTTCCCAAAGATATTATTCTTTAAATCACATGGCATACGAAATTTATTAGAATTTGTTTTTATATTACATTGATATAAAATAAACGTAATTAAAATGCAATAAAATCATGCAAGAAAACCCGCTTTTTGACAATACACACTTTGTTATTGTTATTTTTAATTAAATAGTAAAGAATTTATAAATATATATTTTTTTCTTTTTTGTCTTTTACCCCAACATTTTTTAAATATCTTGTATTCTCTCCCTCCTTTCTGCATGGCTTCGTGGTGTAATGGTTAGCACACACGGCTCGTATTCTAGAGTTCCAAGTTCGAGTCCCAGTGAGGACATTGCTCATTTTTCATATTTCCTGCTTAAAATAACCTAATGTCTCTACAACCTGACATGTCATTTATGTTTTGCATGTATTACTTAGTTACTCTTGTTAAACAACGGTCAATTCTCTGTTATACAACTGTATAAAGAAAAAAATTCAGAGAAAATATTGAATAACCAAAAGAATTTATTAGCAGCAAATTTCTAAAACATATTATTTTTTATTATTAAATAATGAAAGATCCATATTTGTGTATGTATATTTTTCGAGCTGCAGGAAAAGGTCGGCAGCTAGAGCTATCAGATTTTGCACACATATAATCCTCTATCTGAATATGCGCACTTTGGAGCCTAAATTTCAAATTCTGAATTAGTCTTTTATTTATTTACTGTGCTGTGAGAATTTAATGAATTTTTGTATAATAAACTGAATGATTTAAAAACCCTGCTCGACATAAAGCATTTTCACCTTTGGTGCTTCAGTGTTTGCCATTTGGCATAGTATAAGATATTTATCTTTCAAATTTAAACGACAAGCTTGGCTATTTAAAAGCAATATGTTGCCACTGCCCCAATAAAATACATTCATTTTATTGGATTGATGTTAGTTTCCTTAAACAACTTCTGTACACTTCTATAAAATTTTTTATATACACACTAATTAGTTCCCTATCCTTCATCTTAGTTTTAATAACTTGAAAATCGACAAAGGAAAATTAGACATATTTATTACGGTAGATGTGCATATGAACAGCAAAAAACGCATATGAATATATGCACTAATTTTACTTTATTCTGAACAGTCAGTTACTGTTATTGCCTTCAATTTTCTCCTCGGACTCACCAGCGGCCGAGCTGTAAAGACGCTGAACACTGGTAGTTCGGTCTGAGGTTCGAATCCTGCGAACGGGCTGGCTGCATGGGCGTTTTCGTGGTTCCCCATGTGTAACGTGTATACGAGCCAGTTTCCCTTAGAAAGTCCTCCACGAAGGCATCCCTCCCTTTAGGCAGATAGCCCTCATGTGCTTTGCCATAATTGAAAAATCCAATCCGATTTTCTCCTCACCCATACCTTATTTTGACTAACATAAATCAGAATTTTCTAAATTGTGCGCTCAAACTCTACACCAGGATAAATATGCGAGTAACCTGTAGCAGAGTGGTCATAAATCAGTATTTATTAATTGAGTCCATTATAAGAGTCATTAGGTTAGTTTGATGCTGGAGACGTCAAAAATGAGCAATGCCTTCGCCGGGACTCGAACCTGGACCTCTCGAATACGCGCCGAGTGTGCTGCAGTTACACCGTAAAGGCATGGTGAAAGGAGATAGACAATACCTTCTATCAAAGAACTTTATTTTGAATCTATCAAGCTACATTAAAGGTTAGGTTAGATTATTTCAGTAATGCAAAGAAGGACAGAAGGACTACTTGACTAAGGGGAAAGATTGTTTCATGGAGCTTTTTCTAAGGGAAACTAGCTGGTAATCACATTGCACATTAAAAAAAAAAAAAAAAAAAAAAAAAAAAAACACGAACATTAAACATGCCTGGGTTCCGTTTGCCTGGGTTCAAACCCGTCTCTCATAGGCAGTAACCTACTGTCTTAAAGCACTCGGACTCTGTGAAGCATAGCATTAAAGAATTGGATTATTTGATTAGTGCAGAGCACACTGTAAGATTATCTGCGTAACCGAAGAGGTGGCTTCGTGAGGGACTTTCTAAAGGAAACAATTTATATTCACGATGCATAATTGCATAACTTCCATGCAACATAACGAAAACTTCCATGCAATTAGGCTGTATCTGGACTCTAGTAAAATTACCAGTGTTGATAAGTCTTATCCGTCGCACTCTGCTGGGTCAGCATTAAAATAAGCATTTATTTCGGAGTTTTAATCAAAATAAGCATTCGATGTTTATTTTGAAAAACAAACGCATTCTTCGAAAATTAAGAAATGACAAATTAATTAAATATTTAAAAATGTATTCAAATAATTTGCTTATTTTTCCAGTGAATTTGTAAATTCCTTTAATACATGGGATCTTTATCAGTATATAGAAAGTTTATATTTTAATAAGCATTTGGTCAAATAATAGTTTACACTTTTAAAGTGAACGGATTACAGAATCCTTTTTAGCCAATTCAGCGACTAATTCTGAAAAGCATTTCACAGATTTTAATTTGAGAATCTTAAAATTATCTACCTGTATCATATTTCTGATAACAGGCTATTAAATAAATGCATAACATTTTTTAGCACTTTTTATAGATTTCATATGTTTTAAGAGTTAAGAAACGTAATATAATTAGATTTATTAGTTGCCTTTCCACTCATTAGTTATTTTATTATTTAGAGAAATTTCGTTGACAATATTAGTAGATAATTTAGTTTCACGTAGCCATTTATTTCCCTAAATGTTTTTTAAATGTATGAGGAATTTGAGTTTTTAAACATTTTTAGACAGATTTGTATTTGAACTTTTTGAATTTTTAAAATTTTCAGACAGATTCGCAGATATATATTTATGTTGGAATTAACATGTATGCAATGTTTATCAAATGGAACCCATTGTCTTTCAACAAGCAGTCAAGCGAAAGTAATGCAATTTCTTTTTCTAAAAATTTTCTTTCTGGAATCTGACATGCACTATTTATCAAAACCTTGTAAAAAATCTTCTAATTCTTCCATCAAGGGATCAGACGAAGCTCAGATAATCTATTTCGTAGATTTACGTTCGAATTCAGAAATAGTTCAAAAGAATTTTTTAAACTTGATTTAAAATATGAATCATATGCTTTTTGCTTAATTCAACAAATAAATAAAAATTATTTTTTTTTAAAATAGTGTTTTCAACTTCTTATAAATATTAGAAAAAGTAACAAATGAGTAAGTAGTTTTGAAGAGTCATTAGGATTTTTTTTGGAGGCAGGACACGTGAAAATTGAGCAATGCCGTCGTCGGGACTCGAACCCTGGACCTCTCGAATTCGCGTCGAGCGACCACCAAGAAGGTCCACCATGAAGACATGCTAATAAGGCGGGAGAAATACCTTATATACTCCCCCTTTTAAAGGGCGACTGAGGTTTTAGAGGAACTAATCGTCAATTCCTTGTGGTGAAAGAATCATCATTCACCACCTTTTTAGTTCGGGCGCCACTGTAGAGACATAGGTATTTGGAAGCAGGTGAGAGAAAAAATGAGCAGTGCTCTCGCCAGGACTCAAACCACGGACCTATCGAATCCGAGTCGAGCGGGCTGACCACTACAATACGAAGGCATGCTAAGAAGGCGGGAGAAACACCTTATAGTTTTACCTTGAAATGTGAATGTATGAATTGAAATCATCGGCACTATGCTAAAACCATGAAACTGAAATACTGCTTCTTAGATTAAAGAATTTTCAGACCCTAGTATGATTTGAGCTTCAAAAAAATTATGTTTCTCTTATTTTTTCATATAAAAATAGTGTAACGTGTTGAAAGTCAGCGTAAAGAGTGCATAAGCAAAACTTACTTTCGTAGTTTTGTTGATGTGCTGTTGTTATGTTAGAAATACTACAAAGGATATATAATAAGGCACTGATTGCCAAGTCTCTCAAATTTTGCACTATACAAACAAGAATAAAAATATATGTACATCTCGCACAAAAAGAAATGGGACAGATCTATATCTCTGGTTCTACTGCTCCGACTGACAAAATTTACTTTCTTTTCATGTCTAGAAAGCGCGCCTTAGGATATATATTAGATTTATACATAATATTGTTCTAACATAGATAGTTTGACACAAA